AAAAGGGGGTAATTCAAGAATGGTTTTGGACGGCGGACAGTGATACTCGGGCTCTTTATTACATCATACTTCATAAATGTTTAACATCGAAGACTTACGTTGCATCTGAAGAGGATTACACATACCGCATTATATTTGGGTACTACGTCTATTTTATTTTCGAATCTGAGACTAACTTCAATGTATTTCCAAGCTATACTCCTGTTCGGGATGATGGAGTCGTGGGAGATCTCGTTGTTTCCGAGCCCAGCAAGGTCATATATCCAGGTACATATGATGCTTCTTCACTGGCCGCCACCATTACAATAAGTTCTTTCTTCCAGAGCTTCCTCGTGTGCAAAAATTCGTCCTTTCTGGGAAAGTGATCGAGGGAGAAGTTCTAACTGCTTTGGAAGTTATGCCAAAGGGAGAGACACAACAGCGGGTGTGGGACAAGTACAAAAAGGAAATCAAGTATCAATGGTAAGGCCATTTCAAATACTGGAAACGATGCTGACAAAATGGTGACGCAGGTCGCGCTCGACTGAGCCTGGCTCAGCCGATTTCGAACCGATTTCCCAGCAACGCTCGTGCACCTATAAAGTGAGGCTGGAGGATATTGGATATTTGTTATGTTGCGAATGCGTGATATACGACGTCTTTGGGCGTTCCACTGATCCAATTTCTAGTACAACACCAGCCGTGCAACCAGGTTTTACTGCAGTTTCTTTTTCCTTTCATGTAACCAACCTTCTAATTGTCCAGCCTTTCCTCGTATTGATAAGTTGGAGATAGAAGGCCGTGGCTTTCACACAAACTTATATGCTGTTAGGGGCATATACGTCGGCGGCCGAGAAGGAAAGAGCTCCATTCAATGGTTTAGAGCAATGGCTGGTAGTCCGGATCTCATTCCCATTCCAGGTACATTGGCAAGTTTATAGCGCTCCAGCAGCTCACACTCTTTGCTCTTTATGATCAGGAGAGACCGGGCGCATGTATGAAGCAAATGTGGACGATGTTGGATACAGATTGGTGGCTATTTATACTCCAGTCCGGGAGGACGGCGTAGAAGGCAACCCCACCTCGGCTTCAACTGATCCTATAGAAGTTGGTAAGTGTTGTGTTTCTTTTGCTGCTGAGGCAACCTCTTGCATTTCAGAACCGGAAGTTGCGAAAGAAGTGAAGCAAAAGCTCGAGCTTGGAGCAGTCAAGTTTGAGGTGAGCATTTGCGTTAGTGATACAAATATATTCCTGACACGGCAAAAATTTCCAGGTTCTCCGGGACAGGGATCGATCGCCCGCTAGTGGGCCACAACAGCAGCAGGCACTGGGCAGCCTAGAGAGACGCATCCTTGATATCAATCGCAAGAGAATAAAAGTGATCAAGCCGGGCTCCAAAACGTCGTTCCCGTACACGGAAATTCGAGGCACATATGCCCCACCTTTCCATGTAAGTTGCAATCTTTTATAGTCCTTCGTGTTTCTCTGTGCTTTTTCTTTCTTTGTGTGTGATTCTCTTTGTTTTGCTTTTCGATGTCCATGCTAGTTTTGTTTCTCTGTGAGTGGGTGTGTATTCTCTTT